CGGAGTCTGGACCCCCCCCCTCCCCCCCTTTGGCGCTGGAGAGGGGGGTGGGCGAGTTCGGACCTCCCCCCCCCCCTCCCCCCTTTTGCGCCGGAGCGGGAGCCAGGGACGGGGGGCCTCTCTCGCTTCTCCTTTTCTGCGCCGGAGAAGGTGTGTAGGGAGTAGGGAGTGGTGAGTAGTGAGTAGTTGGGTAGTGCGTAGTGAGTCGTGAGTATTGGGTAGTGAGTAGTGAGTGGCGAGTAGGGAGTAGGGAGGGAGTGGGGAGTACTGAGTAGTGAATGGAGTAGTGTGTACTGATAAGTGAGTAGTGAGTGGCGAGTAGTGAGTAGCGAGTAGTGAGTAGCGAGTAGCGAGTAGGGAGTATCGAGTAGGGAGTAGGGAGTAATGAGTAGTGGGTAGTGAGTAGTGGGTAGTGAGAAGTTTGGTGGCGAGTAGTGATTAGTCAGTAGTGAGTAGTGGGTAGTGCGTAGTGCGTAGTGAGTAGTGAGTAGTTATTAGTCAGTAGTTGGTAGTGTGTAGTGAGAAGTGAGAAGTGAGTAGCGAGAAGTGAGTACTGAGTACTGAGTACTGAGTACTGAGTGCTGAGTAGTACGTTGTACGTAGTGACGAGTGAGTAGTGACGAATAGAGAGTAGTGGGTAGTGGCAGCGGGTAGTGAGTAATGAGTAGCGAGTAGGTAGTAGCGAGTAGTGAGTAGCGAGGAGCGAGTATGGCGTAGTGAGTAGAGAGTAGAGAGTAGTCAGTAGTGAGTAGTGGGTAGTGATTAGTGAGTAACGACTAGGGCGTAGCGAGTAGTGAATAGTGAGTAGGGAGTCGGGTGTAGTGAGCAGTGACTAGTAAGAAGATGGTAGCGAATAGTGGGTAGAGGGTAGCGATTAGTGAGTAATGAGTAGTGGGTAGTGAGCAGCGACTAGTGACTATTGACTTGTAACTACTGACTAGAGACGATGTGGTGACTAGTGAGTAGGGTGTAGTGAGTAGTGAGTAGTGAGTAATTCGCTGGGAGTGAGTAGTGAGTATTGAGTAGCGAGTATGGGAGTAGCGAGTAGTGAGTACTGAGTACTGTGTAGTCAGTACTGTCTAGCGAGTAGCGAGTACTGGGTAGTGAGTAGTGCTTTGTGGGCAATGAGTAGTGAGTAGCGAGTAGTGATTAGTGGGGAGTGGGTAGTGGGTGATAAGTAGTGATTAGTGAGTAGGGAGTAGTGAGTAGTGCTTAGTGAGTATTGAGCAGTGGGTAGTGAGGAGTGGGTAGTGAGTAGTGAGTAGGGAGGAGGGAGTAGTGAGTAGGGAGTAGTAAGTAGCGAGTAGTGGGTGGTGGTTAGTGAGTAGTGGATAGTGAGTAGTGAGTCGTGAGTAGTGAGTAGGGGGTAGTGAGAAGTGAGTAGCGAATAGCGAGTAGTCAGGAGTGGGTAGTGAGTAATGAGTAGTGAGTACTCTTTGGGGTCTGGGGTTAGTGGTTGGGGTTGGGATTTGGGTTTTGGGTTAGGGTGAGGACCAGGGGTAGGGGTGGCGGCGTTCGGGTTCCGGAGTCAGGGGGCGGCGTGGCGAAAGGGGGGGAGGGGGGGGGGGGTGCGGCCAAAGGGGGGAGGGGGGGGGGGGGGTTCGGACCCCCCCCCCCTCAGGAGGGAGGGGGGGGGGCCCGACGACGGATCGGGGAAAGGAGGGGAGGGGGGGGGGGTCCCCGACGACGGATCGGGGAAGGGGGGAGGGGGGGGGGTCCCCGACGACGGATCGGGGAAGAAGGGTAGGGTGGGGGGGTTTCCCCCCCCCCACACTGGGGAGATCCAGCGGCGCACCCTCTCTATTTATCTTTCCGTTTGCATCTCTTTTCGGCAGAGTTTTCCAGGAAATCCCCAGACCCGATTGCCCAACGACAACACCATAACTGGAATGTTCCATGTATTCAGGGTCCACCTGTGTGCACAGCGCGCACATGCTTCACATAGCGGCGTGTCCCATCATCGTGAGTCGAGTGCTTTGCTGTCATTGCACCAGATCCCAGCAGCGAATCCCAGCACACCCCAACACTGGCCGCGCACTCCCCAAGGCATGTACCCTGACGCCGACTTAGGTTAGCACCGCACTTAGTAGACATCATGGGTTTACATATCTAGTTGCACATATACATCCTGTAGATCACGTGTTACGATCACGTGCGCCCGCGCTTCATCGTGGAACTGGTTGCTTTTTGTTATGGTAGCGCAGGTCGCTGCCAGTGCCGCATGTGTGCGAATGAAGTGGTACATGTGGGGGGGTTGTTGCTGGATCTATCATTGCGCACGTACATTCGCAAACGAATGTGATGCAGTCGTCTAATTAGGTGCAGTTGCCTGTGCACGCAGTTCTGTTTCTCCATTGATTCGTGTTCGTCTGCAGATGCACGTGCATTTTAGTTGTAACATCCGCGTGTGCGCATACATGTGCAGGGGCGCCCAGCTCCAGTAACTCAAACAAGTTAAGCAGTTCTGATGCACCACGTTCTGGAAACATGCGTTGGCAAGGTGCTGGAGGTGCTGCCGGACACGGGCAGCCCCGACCTGTGGGTCGCAGCCAGCAATTGTACCAATTGTTTGGAGAATGCCACATTGTTTGATGTGTCAGCATCATGCACTGCGCAGCAGTTGGGCGACAGAGAACGTTTCGCGTACCGTGACGGCACTTCCGCTTCGGGTGGTTCTTTCCTCGACACCGTCCGCTTTGGAGATTTAAAGTTGACCTCGCAGTTCTTGATCCAGGTCGACCACATGGACGCGGAAACGTCGATGCAATCCGACGGGATCTTGGGGCTGGCGCCATTTAGCAGCAGGGGGAAGACGTTCTTGACCCGCATGTTCGAGGAGCGGGAGCACTCGGTCTTGCCGAAGCAGTTTTCTTTTTTCTTGAAAGGTCACACCGACTCCACCTCCAAGCTCGTGTTCGGAGATCCTGATTTTGATCAGTATTCGAAAGAAACGAAATTCCAATACGCCAAGGCACATGGAGGCCAGAGCCAGGCCACATGGTTGGTCTCCGTCCGCTCAGTGACGTGGACGGGTTCTTCGTGGAGCGGACGCAGCCTCGCCGCCCAAGGTGCGGCACCGCTGGGAAGAGGCATTGGGGCGCTCGTAGACTCGGGCACGTCGCTGATGGTGTTGCCGAGCGAGCTTTACGACAGCCTCATGGCCGAGCTGCTGTGGCGCCTGAGTGGATGCGTGCACGACGCCAAACAAGACGTCGTGAGGTGCGATTGTCCACCCGCTAACGATCTCAGCAGAATGCCCTGGCTCGTCATTACCTTCATCGGCGACGATGACGAGGACTTCTCGGTCTGCATGGCCTCGGAAGAATTCATCCTGGAGTCCCCCGACCCCGAGCGGCCTGGGGGCGCGCAGTGCATCCCAGCGTTCTCCCGGGGCGGCGTGACGGAGACGCAGCGCATGATCTTGGGCATGACCTTCATGCGGTCATTCTACACCAACTTCGACATCGACAGCATGCGGGTGGGATTCGCTCGGAGTGCCGAGTCGCCCCTGCCGGGGCTCAGCATGTGCAATCCGCACAGGAAGAGCATCTGGTGTGCTTCCGTCGCCGTGATGTTGGCCTCGGTCGCGTTCGTCTGTTACGTCGCGCTCGATTACGACATGGGCAAGAAGGAGGCCGGGGCGGATTGCTCTGCGGAGGGCGGCGGCGAGGTGGAGGCGGCCAGCAGTCCAGCCTCCAAGTGAGCGCGCGCACAGCTGGCCTCACGGGCGTTCCGCTGAACACGCCCCACAGCTTTCCGTGCGATCAGTATGGGTACGGGAAGGTTGTGCACAATGACCAGCAGCAGTTCTCGCTCATGTTGATCGGGACTCGCTGTTGGTGTTGCCGCGGACGTTGTCCATTTGAGACAGACGGCCGCCTGCCGAATAGTGGCCGTTGCCGATGGTCGAGAAATTTTATGTGTGGACATCCTACCCAGTTTTCCCATCGCTCGAATCTCCAGCATGGGGGAGTGGAGTCACGCATTATATGGCCGATGGGCGGGGATGGTACTTCTTTGCCGCTTGGCGCTGCCTGTCAACGGACCGGCTGCCCCATAGGCTCTAGTTTGTAGAGTTTCAGTCAGTGCACTTGTTTTCTCGGAGTGGGGCCGAAGAGTCCCCCTCACCAGCGGTGATGGGCGGGCCTCCTGTCCGACGAGGGACTATCAAAGGTGAGTCTCTAGAATCAGCAGGTCGCAGCCGTCTGAGCAAATCGAGGTTGCATCTCGCAGCTACTTACATGCTGAATGAACAAATGGCCTCCTTGTGTCATCCCGTCAGCCAAGCTTGCAGCAGGAAGCTTCGCAATGCCGTCTCAGCGAACTCACAGGATTAAAGGCTCCATCCACCAGCGTCCAACCCGCAGGTATACGATTCGTAAGACCCTGCTATTCGGAGCATCTGGTGCCGACCTCGTTGTTCGGCAACCGCGATACAACACGCAATTGGACATCTGGTGTACGCAATACAGTGGGGGCGCGCATCAAGAAACCATCCACTTTTCGTCAGGGTATCCTGGGTTTCTTTGCTCCGCGCGCTGCGCGTTGACTTCCCGCGGCCGTTGAAGGAGCTGCTGCGTTCAGGGTGCTCCAGGTTTCCCCTCAGGTGCACCTCGCGCACGGGTTCTCAGGGTTGCGTTTCTTGCGAGGGTTTCTTGCGGACGCGCCCGCACTGTACATGGTTCGACACTGGCCCAAAGGTCACGAACACCTGACGCGATCCATTCTTCACACCTGTGCCCTCCTCACCCAGCCTCTGCTCACCGGTGCCTGAGAGCGTGCCCCGCGCGCCTCCACAAAGCATATCCACACTTGGGCACACATCTCGATGCTAATTCGCAGGATCACATGTTGTTTCTATCGGGCCGGGCGAAAGGGGGGGATTGGGAAAGGGGGGGTCACGAAATCTGCTGCATGCAGCTGGTTTCGGCCCCGCCTCCGGGCCCATTCCCTGATACATGGGCGCCTCCTGGCGCCGGGAGGCGCCGGGGAAATCAGCTACGTGAGCTGATTCTCATCCCCCCCTTTCGCCCGACCCGATTCTAGAGCTACAGCATCCGATAGCAAGCAAAGAGGGGAGCCGCGTACTTCGTTCCGCAGTGCACGCGCGCATGTCGCTGCTGTACCCGCCATGGGCAGCAACAGTGTGAGGCATGACCAGGAATATGGTTGCAACTCCGGTCTGGTCATGGCGAGTCACGATTTGATGTGGTCGTCCACGTTTCCCATGTCGTCTCGCCACGCCGAGACAAGGCCACCACATCTCGAGGCCAAGGACAAACGACGTTTCATTATATGGGGTGCCCTTCTCCCAGTCCGCTCAACCAGAGCATGTTGCAGCGATTATGTCGACAGGATTGGCCTTGGCCCAGGCCAGCTAATGTTGAGATTGGGGGCACCTGCGTGGCATCCGTTGTCAGTATCTAGTGGCCTTCAGTCCATCCCGCCTGGCTGCGTTGTTGGTCAGAGGCCTCTTGGATGGTCTTTGGGATGTCGTGGGGGACCTCCCAGGGGGCTTCTTGGAAGCAGTTTTGAGGCCTCTTGGGAGCCGGGCTGAAGCCTCCTAGGGGTATCTTGGGACGGATAGCTCGAATTGTTGGTTCCACCTCCCCCTCTTGGGCCCCTATTGGGGGGCGTCGTTGGGCTCTCTTGGGCTTGGGCCGCATTGTGGCCCTCTTGGGCCGTCTTGGGGCTCTCGTGGGGGCCTGTTTGGCCGTCTTGGGGCGTTTTGGGGGGCCTCTTGGGCCGTCTTGAACGCCGTGAGGCCGAAAAGTCTGATATGCTGAAAAATACACATTTCCCGAATGGAGTTGGACGATCGATGCTTCTCGGGGCCATCTTCGAAGGCCTCTTGGGCCTCTCTTGGGGCGCCTTTGGGGACTCTTCAGCCGTCTTCAGGCCACCTTGGGTGTCTTGGTCCGATCGCTCGGCGATTCGGGGCCCTCTTGGACCGTCTTGGGGGCCTCCGGTTGCGCTCTTGGCCCAGCTTGGGGCCCCCTTGGGCCCGAGAAGGTCATGATGGAAGACGCGCCGGGACCCCGGGGCACGCGGCAAGCCCGGGGAGGCTCCAGAACCTGGGGCCTGGGCTCGTCAAAGACCCTTCAGGATTGAGGACTGAGGCTTCACGGGTCAGGCTAAGGGCCGGAGGTCACTCCATCTCGGGCCTCAGGGCACAGTGGCGGATTGCCCTCAACCAATGAGGAGTGCAAGGGTACTCACGTTGACCCTTGCTGCTCAGCCAGCCGTTACTGCATATAAGCCTTAGAATGTTCGCCAATGGTTCTAGACTATCTACAGTATCCGCTTAGCAAGGTCGGGCAATCTAGGAGGCACCCTCGAACGAGTTCCTGTTTGCGAAGGAAAGTGCTCCACTGTTTTCCACATGGGCTCCAAAGTACAACTAGTGCGCATTCACATTTGTATACGTTCACGCCCGCATACTTGCAACCGTTCTTACTTGCCGACAACGTCTTCCACTTTGGCTCCAGCCCCGAGGAATTGAATATGACGTGCCGCTTTTTTTTCGGTGCACTAGGTTGCGCCCACAGGTTGCGCCATCGATACTGCTGATTGGTTATTGTGTGCCTTGCATTGCGCCCATTACTTTCGCCATGGTTTGCGACCATGAGTTGCGCCATGGGAGCAGCAACAATTTGATCATCATACATAGGATCAGTTATGTGTGCCATGAGTTGTGCAAGCCGTGACTGTAGCTGATTTAAAGTGGCGTAGGTGGCGCCATGGGTTGAGCCATGCGATGCGATGCATTGGTTTGACGGTTTGACGTCGATGGGCATGCCTTTGCTTAGCAATTCACCGGTTTCGTCGTGTTGATTATGCCGCGTTTGGCAAGTGCATCCAGGTCCATGTGTGTTGAATTGTGTGGCATCGTCCCGTCGTAGTGGTAGCATTTATACGATGTTTGGGTCCGCATTGGATTAACGTAGCACCCTGCAGTTGCGGATAAGAGTGAGGGGGCGGCCAGGACGTCGGCAGTCTGCGAGGCTCTGAATAAGTCCGCCGCAGGCGCCTACCATTCTACAAATTATGAAGTGAGCCCGCCGCAGGCGACAATTTCTTCGTTCAAGCAATGTTAGTGGGTCGCAGGTGGGTCGCGGGTGGGTCGCGGGGTGGGTCGTTGGCAGGTCGCGGGGTGGGTCGCAGAGTGGGTCGCGGGGTGGGTCGCGGGGCAGGTCGTGGGTGGGTCGCGGGGTGGGTCGCGGAATGGGTCGCGGGTGAGTCGCGGGGTGGATCGCGGGGTGGGTCGCGGGTGGGTCGCGGGGCGGGTCGCGGGTGGGACGACGCCAAGCAGCAACAAACCATAACAACGAGAATCCGCAACGCAGAATCCCATCTCAGCGACGTGTCCAGGAAGAGTGATTGACCGTTCGGCCCCCTCACTCGGCTTGAGAGCCCACAGATTAGTGATTTTTGATTTCTCACGTGCCTCTGTGATCCCATACCGTGGACCCAGTGGGACGCCCCGTCGGCGATTCTTAGGGGCCGCTTGAGGTCACTCTGTTTTTGTTTGGGGGGCACATCTTGTTTGGGTGAGCTCGTGAAAAGTCTCGGGGGGCTCTTGGCGCGTCGGGCCGTCTTGGGGGATACTATTGGCAACTGGAATGGCAGGGGGAAGGAAGTTGTCGCCCAGAGGGGTCACTCTTGGAGGTGGCGACGGGCTTAGACACACCGTTCATGGGGTTTGCTGCGCATCCTCCTCTTCCGCTCTCAGCCCAGTATGAGGCTGCACGCCCCAACGATCCGCCGAAGTTTGGGTTCTCGGATGGGGGGAGGGGGTGGAAGGTGGGTGGATTTTGCCGATAAAACATGAGTAGGTTGCGGAGAAGGCTGTGCCAGACACATCGAGGCCATTGGCTGCCCAGGGGACTGGTGAGACTACAAGTCTCCGGGCGATCGAATAGACTACCTGACGTAGCACCCCGCAGGTGCGAATTGGAGTGAGGGGGCGGTGGGGGCGTCGGCAGTCTGCGACACTCTGGAGAAGTCCGCCGCAGGCGCCTAACTTTCTACAAGTTATGCAGTGAGCCCGCCGCGGGCGCCGATTTATTTCTTCAAGCCAATGTGGATCGGTCGCGGGTGGGTCGCGGGTGGGTCGCGGGGAATGTCGTGGGTGGGTCGCGGGTGGGTCGCGGGTGGGTCGCGGGTGGGTCGCGGGGTGGGTCGCGGATGGGTCGCGGGGTGGGTCGCGGGGGGGGGGGGTCGCGGGGGGGGTCGCGGGGTGAGTCGCGGGGTGGGTCGCGGGGTGGGTAGCGGGTGGGTCGCGGGGGGGACGACGACAAAAAACAACAACAACAACAACAACAACAACAACAGCAACACAACGACAACACTAATTCGAAGACCGTTCGCTTTTACTTGCCCGTGTGTCATTCAAAACGATTTCCACACACCCTCGATACCCGCCCTTTTTGTCTTCGGTCACACCCCCTTTGGGGGGATTCGTTCTCTTTGCGGGGGGCGGCGAGCGTAGACAGGCGGGCAAACTTGAACGGGTGGACAATCCTTCGTGGGCGTACATGTGCCCGCCATTAGAATTGGTGTGGGCCCTGCACAAAGCGGAGGGGGGAACGAGGGAGAGTAGGAGGAAGGGATGGGAATGGACGAATGAAGAGGGACAACGCCAGGAGAGAAGGAGCGAAGGAGGGGGGCGGCTGATTAGATGCAGGGACAGAGAGAGAGAGAGAGCAAAAAAAAGAGAAAGAGAGAGAGAGAGAGCGAGAGTGAGACACACAGCTATATATAACATAAGTAGAGAAAGAGACAAGAGAGACATATATAGAGGATCTATATCTATATATACACAACGATGGAGGGAGGAGGCATGAGAGGGGAGGGAGAAGGGAGGAGGGAGAGGAGGGAGAGGGGATATGGCAGAGAGGCATAAGGATGAGAGGGAGGAGGAGGGAGACAGAGGAGAGGAGAGGAGGGAGGAAGGAGGAGGGAGAGGGAGGAGGAGCAGAAAGGTACGAGCGTGAACGTTCGAGGAAGTCCTCGGCGAAAACGCCGCTTCAGGAAGTCTCGGGCGGGAGCCCACGACGGGCGGGCGATCTACTGACGGGCGGGTCGGGTGGGTGGGACATTGAAGCGGGATGCCTGACTATTGCGACAGCGCGGATCCCAAGTAAATTGTGAGGGCGTCCTTGGCGCAGCGTGCTTCCTGAGCGTCGACAGCTTTGAATACACCGCATGGAAGTCACAAGCCTCAGCGCAGTTGTTGCATACAATGTGAAGGGGTTCTCTGGCGGGAGCGGGGGTCTTGATTAAATTGCGAAAAAGTTTTGATCCACTTGCAATGACGTCTCAAGCGGGAGCGCCGTTCCTATGTAAATGATGAGGAAGTCTCAGATGGGAGCGGGGGCCCTGACTAGATTGCGAAGAAGTCACAGGCGGGAGCACCGATCCTGAGTCAATCGTGAGGAAGTCTCAGGCGGGAGCGGGGGTCTGTGTAAATTTGAAGGAAGTCTCAGGCGAAGGCCATTGTTCTTGTAATCCGGGGGGCCAGGGGCACAGTTTGAGCACCAACATTTGCCATGTCAAAAACAGGGTGCGGGCGTCGAGGGGCGCACTATGATTGAGAAAAACATATGCGCCGGTGAAGTGGACCGAAGATCGCTATTCTTCAGAAGTGAGAGTTCAACAACAACAACACGAGCGACAACAACACGAGCAACAACAACAAAACAAACAACAACAACAACAACAACAACAACAACAACAACAACAACAACAACAACAATCACAACAACAACAACAACAACAACAACAACAACAACAACATCATCATCAACAACAACAACAACACCACCACCAACAACAACAACAACAACAACGACAGCAGCAATAACAGCAGCAACAACAACACCAGTCATTTAACGGGTGTTCGTTCTGATCTGGTCGAGTGTCCGTCAACGCGTATTTCCCTGTCCTCGATACTTCGATCGTACCCCTTCTGGGGGGTATACCCTTCTTCCCTTCTGCCCGGGCCCCGGCAAGCGGCGGGGCGGCAGCGGACCGTCGGCCTGGCCAGCGGCAGCGCTGATCGGCGGCAACCCGACCCCAAGAGGGATGGACAGGGGACCGACCACGGCGACGACGACGACGACGAGCGAAAGCGAGAGCGATAGAGAGAACGACAACAGGGCCACGACGGGCACGAAGTAGGCCATGAAGGGCGACAGCGGGGACACGAAGAGAATGCGTATGGGACCACGAAGAGCGCGAACGAGCGGGGGCCACGAAGGGCAAACAATGCGGGGCTACAGAAGGCAACGACGGGGCCACTAAGGGTAGCAACTGGGCCACGTAGGACAGCGAAGGGGGCCACAAAGGGCGACAGCGGGGCCATGGGGCCACGACGGGCGCGAGCGCACGGGGGCCACGAAGGGCATGCATATATTGGGCCGCGGATGGCAAGGACGTGGCAATTGAGGGCAGGGCCACGAAGGGCAGCGAGGGGGCCACGAAGGGCGACAGCGGAGCCACGAAGGACAAGAGTATGGGACCACGAAGAGCGCGAACGAGCGGGGGCCACGGAGGGCATGCATATACGAAGGGCAGCGAGGGGGCCACGAAGGGCTGCAACGGGGCCACGAAGGGCAGCGACGGGGCCTCGAGGGACTGCAACGGGTCCGCGAAGGGCGGCGGGGGGGCCTCGAAGGGCTGCAACGTGACCGCGAAGGGCAGCGAGGGGGCCACGAAGGGTTTCAACGGAACCACGAAGGGCAGCGAGGGGGCCACGGAGGGTTGCAGCGGGGCCACGAAAAGGCAGCGAGGGGGCCAAGAAGGGCTGCAACGGGGCCATGAAGGGCAGCCAGGGGGCCACGAAGTGGCGCAACAGGGCCACGGAGGGCAGCGAGGGGGCCACGAAGGGTTGCATGTGGGTCACGAAGTGCAGCGAGGGGGCCACGAAAGACTGCAACGGGGCCACGAAGGGTGACGAGGGGGCCACGAAGGGCAGCGAGGGGGCCACGAAGGGCAGCGAGCGGGCCACGAAGGGCTGCAACGGGGCCACGGAGGGCGGCGACGGGGGGCAGCGAGGAGGCCACGAAGGGTTGCAACGGGGCCACGAAAGGCAGCGAGATCCTGATTCCTAAGTAATTTGCTAGGGAATCCTAAGCGTGAGCGCGACTCCCGGGTGCCTGAGTGTCGGGAGCGCGGCGCTTGAGTAAATTGCGGCAAATTCCAACGCAAGGGCGTCATTCTCGAGGAGATTGCAAGCAAGTCTCCAGCGAGGGCGCGACTCCGGAGCGCCGGGAGAGCGATTCGTGAAACAATTGAACGGATGTCCCATGCAAGAGCGATTCCGGGATAACATGCTAGAACATCTCGGGCGGGAGCGGGGGTCCTGGCTAAATTGTGAGTAAGTCTCAGGCGGGAGCAATTGTTGTTGTAACCCGGCGGCCAACAACGCAGTTTGAGGAGGAATATTTTCCCTGATACAAAAAACTAAGTGCGAGCGTCGGGAAGGGCACTTCACTTGAAACAAATAATGTGCACAGGAGGCGGATCGACAAGACGTAGTCTTCAGTAGTGAGAGGTCAGCGCAACCAGCAGAATCTTCACCACGGATTCTCACTTCAGCCACGCACCCAGGTACAATGAATGACCGCTCGGACCCTCACTCTGATTATCTTCCCCATCGCCTTATCCCCGAATTGCCTACATGTGTGATTGACCATATAATTGCCCACGTGCCTGCCTGTCTCTGTATGTAGGAGTGGCTGTCTGTATAACCTCACCATTCCTTTATGACGTGAATGGTTTAGCGAGTTTCCTCTTCCAACCCTTCTTTCCCCCGTCGGGGAGGGGTTTACCACTCCCCCCACCCCCCACCCCTCGACCTGGACGGGGCGCTTCTCGACCCATACGGGCGTCTAAGGAAGCATCGGCGAGAAGGCAAACATCAATGATTGCACCATGGTTTGGTACGCATTTTGGCCTTCTGGTGTTGGCCCTAATTGGGCTCCCCTATTTTGACCGACCTCCTCCAATATGGCTCCAAGGTTACCCTTAAGGCTTCCAAGGGTGCCCAAAGAGGACCCCAAGAGGCGCCAAGGCCCCAAGACACCCCAATAGTTCCTCAAGCGGCTCCCAAGAGACCCCCAAGAGGTCCCAATAGACTCCTGCGATGCACCTAAGACGCTCCCCGAGGTCCACAAGACGCCCCCTGAGGATCCCAAGGAACTCAAGGGACATCCGACGAGGTTCTGAGTGACATCAAAGAGGCCTCTGGCAATATGTTCGCCTTCCTCTTCATTATTCTTCTCATCCGCCCCCTCCTCCTCCTCCTCCTCCTTCCCAATTCCTCCGCATCCAGAGCTCCAGTCCGAGACCAGAGCAGGAAGATGTCGTGAGCTCCTGCAGGAGCATCGACTTGTCCCTTGCACCAGCACAGGCCCGTGCCAGCAAAAACTGGCCTTTTCCAGCTCCTGCGCGCGTCTGTGCTCAGATAGGGCCCGCGCGTGCTGACGCTGCTGCAGGTGGCGCTGGGCGCACTGATGGCGGGCATTCCGAGCTACGCCGTATTGACTCCGACGGCAGCCACCGCAGCAACAGCTCCAGACGGTCTACATCGTCGGAGAGCAAGCGCCGCTCGGACAGTTCGCGGTAGTCTGGACGTCGCGCCCGTGCCCAACGCTTGCAGGAGGCCGAGAGCGGCGGAGGGCGCCCGCTTGGTGCAGGTCATGCGGACCGCGCTGCCGATGGGCGCCGTGGACAGAGGACGCGGCGAGAGGCCAACAAGTTTTACCGCTCGGGGTCGCAGCTCCGCCAGCGCGCCGCGGACGCCGCCTTCCAGATGGAGCGCGACGGCCCCGACCTCGATCTACTCCCTGCGTTCCCGACGCAGGCGCAGCGAGCCCCCCCGACGCCGGCGGCTTGGGCCGCCACACCTGGCGGAGCGGCGGGGGCCCCCGTTGTATTTCTATATGTGTATATTGTTATGCAAATGCGTACACACAGACATACATACAGACATACAAAGCATCCCAGTGCGACCCTACCTAGGAGTTGGAGCCTCTAGGAACGCAACATTAGCAGCAGCAGTAGGGGATGCTGCGCTGCGCTATGCTATGCTATGCTATGCGATGCTATGCTATGCGATTATCTGCGATGCTATGCTATGATATCCTATGATATGCTGGGCTATGTTAGGCTAGGGTATTATGTGCTATGGTATGATATGATATGCTATGCTATGCTATGTTATGCTCCGATGTGGTATGCTAATCCATGATATGGCATGTTATACTATGCTATGATGCGCTATGCTATGCTATGCAATGCTAGGCTGAGCTATGTTATGGTATGATATACTTGGCTCTGCTATGCTATACAATGCTATGATGTGCTAATGATGCGCTGTGCTAAGCTAAGGTAAGCTAAGATATGCTCAGCTAAGCTAGGCTAGGCTAAGCTAGGCTCAGCTAAGGTAAGCTAAGATGAGCTAAGCTAAGCTAAGCCAAGCCAAGCTAGGCTAGGCAAAGCTAAGCTAAGCTAGGCTAAGCTAAGCTAGGCTAAGCTAAGCTAAGATGAGATAAGCTAGGCTTAGCTTAGTTAAGCTAAGCTGGGTGAACCCAGGGGGGCGCAACTGGGGGAACCGCGTGGCGGATCCTGGGGGAACCGTCCGGGGCGGGGAGCACTGCCCCGCCCGTTTAAGCAAACACAGTAAGAACCCTTCTAGGCAGAGCCTGGGTAGGGAACACACATACACATACACACACATACAGACATACGTACATACGTACACTCGTACATACATACATACATACCAACCTACATACCTACATACATACACGGACATACAGACACTTACAGCTACATGTGAACCACTTTATGGTGATATACACATACAATAGTGCTGTTCTTCCTCTTCTGTCCCGCCTCAAGCAGCGGGCGCCGCTGGCGGCATGTCCCGGGCCTAGGGGGAGGACCTCTGGCAGAACAGCGTGTGGACCAGCTTCTTCAGCAACGTGCCCCACGCGATTTTCGACTACGTGATGTTCTCCTGTTCTCGTGTGCTGATTTAGCGATCACCGGGCCGAATGCCGACGTGTCTGGTTGGGGCTGTACTGTTGCCTCAAAATTCTCGGCTTCACTCCGAGACTATTGTGGGCCTACCATCCTGGACCCGAATGCGCTTGGATTTTTCGGTTCTGCTCATAGTTCCACTCATGTTGGCGAACATTCTGCTTTGTACGTTGCTGTGCCCTGGGTTCGGCGGCGCACCCGTCTTCACCGAGTGTGACTCCGGAATGCGCGGCTGGCGTGGTTCAGCGGCACACCACGGGACGGGGAAGCCTTCGATTTTTCTCGTGTTCGTAATGTGTTTTGTCAGGATGCTTGTCATGGTGTTTTTGGGAAGGTGGAAAGCCATGCCAGCTTATATCTGACGGAGCGCGCTGATCATTTTTGGCAAATTGTGGCGCCAATGTAAGAGTATGCGGCCCGGCTGATGCACATCGCTGGGCGAGCCTTGCGTGCTGACCATCTGGCTCTCTGAGGCCAGGCAGCCTTTGTTCAGTTTCTTGCCACTCGTTTGTCGACCTTGTCACACCAGATTGATCTAAACAGTTCACACTTGCCTTTGAGGGTTTTGGCATCGTCAGCCTCTAAGGCTGCACGCACGATCCATTTGGGACATTTGCCAGGGCTCCAGGGGAAACGTCAAACGCTACCGGAATCGCCCTTGGAATCACACCGAACTGTCGGCGTTCTACAAGGACGACGTGCGAATGCCGTGTCCAAAAGCCGCGCGCAGCCGCGTGCCGACGAACCGCAAGGACAGGATGACGCAGGAGAGAATCGGTGGCACCGGATTGAGCGGATTGGATTAGGAGGTCGACGAGTGAGGAAATGGGGGAAAAGACTTGCCTGTTTACATCACGTGCGTGCCCGTCCATTATGCTCCCCCGTGCTTCGGCCTTTTCTGATGCGTGCCAATTGGTTGCGGGCCTAGCCTCAAGCAGTTATTCTTCGTCTTTCATTCGGTTTCATATTGTACGTTCCCGACGTTAGCAGCACTTCCAAAATGGGGTCGGGACCCTCCTCCTGCCTCCTCCTCCTGCCTCCTCCTCCTCCTCCTCCTTCTCCTAGCCCCTCGCGCGCCCACGAGTTTCCTGCAGCAGGGGCAGGCGATGACCACCGTACGGAACGGTCCTCCGCCACACATTTCTCCTTTGGCCCCCCGCGCGAGATGCATGATGTGTCCCTTGCCTCTCGTTTGCGCGTTGGCAGCTTGCTGTAATATGTTCACATATGTGGCGTGGAACTGCCAGTATGCGGACATCGAGAGATCCTGCGACATCTCAGAGGATTTCAGATACTCTGACATAGTGGCGGTTACGAGCACGGGGGAGCGTGCCGCAGACGACACACGACCTGTGTGTTCGGATATGTGATACCACTTTGTGATAAAATGCGGCTACGTCCCAGGGGCGCACGTCACAAAAACATGCGGGGCCTTTCTCCTCCTGCGCAAGCGGGTCTTCAAGAAACGTGACGTGTACGATGTGCCGACGATACCAGTGTCCCTTCACGGCAGCGTGGCGGTGTTCCGATTGCGGTTGGGGCGATTCGATGTGGTTTTTCCGATTCTGTATTTCCCACCTCGCCCGCCGGCGCGGAAACACAGTCGAGAGACGGTGGCGTCAGGGGCGAGTCTTCAGGCGAGGTATCGGGCCACGGTCCATGAGATGTGCCAGCGGCTAGAGCGCACGCTGACATGGACTTGCAGGCGCTCGTCGTTGCTGATGGGATTCGGCATGAACGGCTCGTTCGAAGTCCGCCAGGTCAGGGGCCAGCAGGTGCGCGTGTCCACGCCCGCGCTTGGCCCGTTCGCGCAGGACCTTCAGAGGTTCGCAGCGGACCAGGTGCTCGAGATCTTCTAGAGTCACGCGGTGACGGTGGCCTCCACGTTCTACAATGTGGGTGCCACCTATTTCGGACATCGGGGATCGAGCTGCATTGACTTTGTGGCGGCCTGCGACTGGTAGATGGCGCACGTGAGTACGTGCTTTGCGCTGCGCAAAAAGAGCCTGCGCCTCAAGTTAAACCTGCAGCAGGGTATCCAAGACTATGTGCCGATCTTGCTGACATTGGATTACGGCTTCAGCTTCAACCCGCAGCAAGCGCCGCCTGTACGCTGGGACGTTGACAAGCTCGTGGCGGCGCTGAAGAAAGGCGCGGGGGTGGATAGCTCCATGGGCGACCTCGAGCAGCAGTTCCAGGAGGCGGGTGATTTCTACGATATGATGCTCCGCGCACCGTCACCCGACGAGGCCTGGAAGCGGTGGATCACGACCGTGCACGAGACGGTCTCCCGCCATTTCGATTGCAAGACGACGCATGACCCTGTGAAGTTCGAGTTGGTACGGGAGCGCATCCGCCTTCTTCGGGCTCGTCGGGGCGAACGGGCACGCGGGGGGGCCAGTGCAGAGGCGGCCTTGCAGCTGACGCGGTGCTCGCGGCGGCTTCGCTTACTGCGGAGGCGGCAGTTCGAGGAGGCCATGACCCTGCTCGTGGAGGAGATCGGGGCGGCGTGGAAGGGCCACCGACAAGCGGAGGTGTGGGGGCTGGCCCACAACCTTGCAGGGCGCTGCAGCGGGCCGAGGCGTCGTCGCTACGACCTGGCGGAGACGTTTGCGCCGAGGGCGCCGGAGGTCTGCGAGCACTTCAGTGGGCCTGGACACGCCAGTGGACACGCCTGTCGACTTCGGTGGGCAACAGCAGGAAATACTGGCGGGCCTGCCTCAGCCAGAGCCCATGGGCAGCGACAACTACCTGCGCGTGGAGCAGGCCCGCGACGACCTCGAGACGGCGGTGGACCTCGCCGCCAAGGCCCCGCGACGGAGGGCTGCCCCCCTACACCCCGTGCCGACAGAGGTGCTGATGACGGTGCTGGATCCGAACAGGCGCTCCGACGGCAGCTATAGGGGGCCTCGGCGACGGGGCGACGAGGAACGAGGAAGGCGACGACGGTGGCGATGCTCCTGCGCGCCCGCGCCCGCAGTTCTCTCCCCGCGTTCGACTGGGCGGCGATTGACCGGGCTTGGGCGCGGAGCAGCAGCTCGAGACCATCGACAACGAGCATAGCTTCAAAGCGCTGCAGAATGTCTTCGCGCACATTCGGAGAGCGCGGCGGGCCCCTGTGGCGCGGCATCGCAGCGGGGCGACGCTGTCGGACAAGCACAGTCACAATATGGGTTTCTCAGCAAGGCGCTACATGCGCGGGCGGCGCAGGATGGGGGCACTTTGGTTCAAGGCGCAGCTTCGACGTGGTCCTGAAGATGTGGCCCCCGATCGCGAGCGCCGCTACCTGGCGGGCCGCAGCCGGGATGGGGGCCCTCATCTGCCAGGAGGTGCTGGCCGGGCGGCCGCGCCAGGCGGGCGCGTCGACAGTCACGGCGAAGGAGGACATTGCGAACGCGCTTGGCTGCGCAATTTTCTTTTCGCTGCGGGCCACTGGGGAGTTCTATGCGCGCTGATGCTCAGCGTTACTTTCATCGGCGCCATGGGGGCAGCGCGTGCACAGCGGTGGCAGCGGACAAGGAACAGACGATGCACAATCTGTGCGGGGCCTTCATAGGCGACGCACCTGCGGCGGTCTTCTTCGCCACGTCCTTTCGGAGGCCAATCCAACAATGGCTGGAACAACTTCGAGGAGAGGCGCGTGGCGGCCCCGTCCCTCCGAGGCCCACGACGTACGAGGACTGGCTTGCACAGGAGGTGGCGCCTGCGGTTCCTCCTGGGGCTTTCGATGGGGCGATGTGGCCGAGCGAGGCGCTTTGCCAGGCGTGGGCCCCCATCCTGCAGCGCCCAGTGGATCTCTCGTCGCATCTACGCGGGCGACGCGAGCAGGGCGCACATCGTGAGCAGCGCGCAGACCGCTCGGCGGACGCTGGAGCGCGCGCACAGCCACCCGCGCACGGCGTTGGCCTCGGATGGCTACGCGCACATGCCGACGCCGCCGCCGTTTTTGGAGGTTCGACGCGGCCCCCTGGGCAGGTCCAGTTCGACAGTGCTGCGTCGGGGGGTCAGACGGCCATCAATGGCACGACCCAGGGCGAGCTTCGTAGGAGGATTCTGGCTGCGCGTCGAAGCTTCTACTTCATGGTGCGCTTCTGGTCGAAGAACAGGCTGTGGCGTTTGACTCGGGCGGTTTTTTGAGCGGTTGTCCAGGGCGCTTTACTGTCTGGCCTGGGGGCGCTACTGCTTACGGAGGCGCAGGTGGGAAGGCTGGATCGGGTCCCGGTCGTTTTCGCGAGAGAGCTCTTGGGGGGCGCGGCTTGTCAAAAATCGAGATCCAGAATTCCGAGGGCAATCCAGTCGTGGACGATCGAGGCCAGCCCGTGTTGCGCTGCCGTGCCGTGTGCGACGGGGTGGCGCTTCGTCGAGTGGGCGTCGCTCCTTCTGCTGTTGAGCTTTGAGTTTGGAGGCTTCGCCTACGCCGTCGCTGGATTGCGGGCCCGAGTTCGCACCCGCAGGAGATGGGTCGCTTTTCGGACAGCTCCCGCTGGACCCCGCCCCGACGATCACTGGGGAGGGGCGCCTCTCGGCCTCCGCCAGCCCGCGCGCGGTCCGCTTTGATCATGACGTCTGGGCCCTGGCGCGTCGCTCGGAGTCCGAGCTCCCGGAGGCCCGGCGGTTCTCGGGCGCGTCTACCGACCCCCACATGAGGCTCAACATCAGGGCGCTCTGCATGGACCCCGACCTGAGAGCTCAGCGCATTGCCCTGGACCCAGGTGTTCTGAGAGACGAGGCGAAGACGGTGGCAATACCTCCTCCTAGACTGTGTGGTCCTGGTCCTGAAGTCCCTGATGGTGCCCCCGAGGCCCCCCCCTCTCGAGACGCTCTGGCGTCGCGAGTTACGCGGCCACGAGGAGGACATTTGCGGGGGGGTCTTCGGCTCTAGGAGGGCGCTCCTGGCACATCAGAGGTTTCCAAAACACGGTGGGCACGCATGCAGATCCGTCGTCCACACCATCGTAGTGACGAGCGTTGCGGGCTCGAGTTTCGTGCGCGTCGCATCGCACATGAACATGTGTTACAGCGGTGATGCAAGGAATATGCCCACCGAACTCCACGCCATACCACCGTGCCATTTGCAGAGCCCGATAGCCTCCACTGCCCTATGGCCGACATCCCTGCAAGGTCTATCTTCGGATATTCAGTCTGGTTACTGCTGCGCCCGCGCGGAGCCGTTTCGAGATCGAGCTGAGCTGACTCGACACTTCCGCGGCCACGCCCCGCGAGAGCCCGTTGTCTGCACTACTACTTCCGGGGGCGATGCACCGCTTGAGCGAGGAGGCGCTCGACGCCGCAGCAGGCCGATCGAGGTCCGATGGGGCCAGGGGCAGGAGGCTCGTGGAGGGACTGCCCTGGGTCGGCCTACGCTTCCCGACAGCGTGGTGGAGGGCGTCGCGCAGGGGATCGCAGCGGACAGCAGCGGCCCCCATCGCAGGCGGCCTCAGGCGCAGGAGGCGCCCCCGCCCAGCGAGGACGACGAAAGGAGAAGCGAGAGGCTCAACAACAGGCCGTGGGTCTCTCGCGCGGCCTCTCGCCATGTGCGAACGACAGGCTGCACCCCCCCCCCCATGGGCGCCATCACCATGGCGATGGTGGACAACCCGTACCAGAGTCGGATGCTGATGGACGCGGAGTTTGTGACGATCACGCTGCACGAGGAGCTCCCCGCCGCGCAGGCGGGGAGCTCACGCTGCACCATGCCAACATGTGGGCATGGTGCATGCCGAGGAGGCGGCCAAACTTCGGGACGAGAACCACCAATACCCGTCGATGCCGACTCCCGGGGCTCAGATATGCCCAGCCTGGGTGCAGATCTTCCTGGGGGTGAAGCTAAGTCAGGCGAGGGACAAGCCGGGAGCTCGCAGCGCCAGGACCTGGCAGAAATCGCAGAAGATGCGGGAGGGGATGATGACCGACATCGGTGACCTGATCGTGCTGGCGAAAGGGTTTCGGGCCTTCAACTGCTACAAGGAAGGGGTGTCCAAGCTCACGTCCGCGAGCGCGGACCCCGACTTCACAGGTGCCTGCAGTCATGCGTCAGCCAGCTGGGAGGCGAGCGGCGACCAGGGCATGCGCCGCGCAACGACGCTGAGCGGGTCCTCCAGCTGGCCCTACACGAGCTGGATCTTTGAGGTCCACGCCACAGGTGGCCACTTGTGCGCCCGCGAGGGAGCCCTCGCGGCGGCCTGCCGAGGACGGAGGTGGCGGGGGTATCGGGAGGACAGCGCCCGAGGGTGTCCTGGGGAGTGTGAGCGTGGTGCCACAGGGTTCGGCCACCGCGGCCTGCACTCGTAGGGGGTGCGAGTTGCGATCGCTCAGCACGCTGGTACCGCCTCCGTGGTGGTGGACATCGATTGCGACACAACCGGCGATGTCCAAGCCCCCCCCGCCGCCGGTGTCAAAATCGCCTCCGCGGTCGATTTCGCAGCCGCCTTCCAGGATCCAGCCGTGTTCGAGAAGGATTGTAAAGTCGGGGTCGAGTGAAGTCGCTCGTGTGGTAATTGAGGCCGGCGCCTCTGTCACCTCTGCCGCCGCCCCTGATTCTCCTGGTTCGATCCCCTTCCTCCGCCTCTCGCCCACGCTTGACGCCTGGAGCCATGCTGAGCTTCAAGGCCTTAGTGGCCTACGCCAGTCAGTTCTGAGTTTCTTTGGGCCCTGGTCCGTGTCTTTCGACCTCGGTGGTCGAGCGAAGTCAACTAGGGGCTCCCACCTCCCTGGGGGGAGGCTACATGTTTCGCCTTTCTGCGCCCCATAGATCACAGGTTGTAAAGTGCTGTTCAGCTTGCCGCCTGGTCGCTCATGTGACGAAGTTGGTCCGATATCGTTGCCGCCGCCGCCTCCTTCTCATCTTCCTTATCTGCATGTTCCTCCACCTCCTCCCTCGTCTCGCCTTCTCATCCCCTCTCGTCCTCCTCCTCCTTTCCTCCTCCTCCTCCTCCTCCTCCTCCTCCTCCTCCTCCCCCTCCTCCTCCTCCTCCTCCTCCTCCCCTCCTCCTCCCCCTCCTCCCCCTCCGATGTCTCATCCAGTGTCCCCCTTGTGGGGTACGGCGGCTTTCCCAGCTCCATTCCACTGCATGCTCCACATCCCTAGTCAGGGCAGCTCGCCTGGGCTTCTTTTCTGGATGGTCTGGTGGTCTGGTGGGTGGGTTACGCGAAACGTCTAGAATTAGCTATGCAATCATGTATATAGACACGTAACAATCGCTGATGAACACACATGAGAAAATACGTGGGGACAACCGCAGCGAAGAACCGCACGGGACAGCACGGGGACAAGCGCGGGACACTCTTGACACACCCGCACGTGGCACACAGAAACAATCTGACGTACATGCCTTTAGTTCCGTATCTAAGGAATTGTCTCTCTTGCTCTCGCGCAGCGTCGGCTCGCCGTCACGCGCGTCGCGAACCAAGTCCGAAGCTGGAGTCAACTTGCGGGCACTATGTTTCACGTCGCTCTCTTCCCCCACTGCAGCGTATGAGTATCCTCGGCACCTGGCTTCTGCGTTGTATCGGACGTTACGATGCCATACCGCGCTGCCGTGGGCGTGGCCAGGAGTGTGAAGCGTGAGCGGTGGTAGGGTGACGTGTCGTGTCATATCGGTGTGCCCCTTTCGCGCTGGGGAGGTGGCGCTCGAGGAGCCCGTCTCCAGCAGCATGAGCTGAGTGCGGCGCGCGTGCTTTGCGGCGCAGCTGGTCCTTCTCCACGACGGGAGTCCACGGGGGGAGGTCCGCGAAGGTGACTTTATTCGGTCCTCTGCGTCTGAAGCCCCAAGTTTGGATGGCCCGACTTGGCGGGAGCTTTTCTAACAAACTGGCCCAGGAGCTCCAAGGCCCCGGAGGCATCGCAGGGTCTGGGGTGTTGGCCTTCAAGACCCAACGGAGGGCCTCTTTGCAGCCCGTGTTGGCAGATCCTTCGGCACCACAGCCACAGGCGTACGTAGTTGTGTGGGGGCTGGACACTAGCAGTGGTTTGTGTATGAGGAGAGGTCGGTCTAGCGGAGCCGGCATGAGAGTTCGTTCAGTTGATCACCAATAGTTGAGCAATGGTGCACGCAAGTTGGGTCCATTCGAATGTTGTGAGACTACATGCGTCAGGCAACGCATGTGGGCTGTCAAGTTGATCAACATTTCAGATGTTCGGCAGATGGTAGTTGAATGCCCGTCTTCTTTAGGAGGCTATACCTTACCTTGTCTGTCTGTTCCTCGCCGTGCTGGAATCCCCCACAGTGGTTGAGAGTCTTCGATCAGGGCAACTTCTAATTAACGCATTGGGGGGCACTGGCACACCAGCAGGGCAACGCAAGTGCAAGCCTGTCCCTGTAGCCTCAGCGTTCACACTGACTGGCGCGCCGCTCACCTTTGCGGGCGCTTGCGCACGGTGGTGCTGTGACCTTGTGTGCAAAAGTAGCGTCCCCTTCCGATCACGGTAGCGTTGAGCATTTCATTGAGCGGTGGCAGAGGATTTTGCGGTGCACGATCAAAAACGCTTGCGGCGAATCTCCGCCGCCCCTGCCTACGCCAATGCGGCCATGTGTTGCCAAGCTATTGGGCGATGTGTGGCCCCAGCCGTTGTGGACCCCTTTTGGGGAGCACATGTGAGAGAAAGAGAAAGTAATATTAGAGGGAGGAGAAGGACGAGGAGGAGGATCAGATGAGGACAAGGAGGCCTCTTGGGGGCTTCTAAGGGGTCTGATTCGGGGAACTCGTGGGCACCTCCGGGCGGCTTCTTGGGGGGGCCGTCTTGGGGGCCTCAAAGGGATTTCTTGGTCTTCACAGGCCTTGGCATCGTTCGGACGTGTGCATTTTTTCTCGGCGACGGCCATCGAGGACCGTCCTTGATCATTTGGCGAAAAAACACGCACGACATTAAAACATACACGAGGAATGGACGTCCGAGCGATGGCGAGAGGCCGTTTTCGGAGCTTGTCTGGGCAGTCGTCAGGACCGTCTGTGATGTCCGTGGGGCCGCCTTGGGGCCGACGTGGGGGCCTCGGAACCCGATGTTGGGGCGCGTTGCGGGGGCCGTCCTGGGGGTCGGGGGCCCGAACGGACGAGAGCGCTGCAATGATATAACCTCCACTGGCAATCAATGACTTGGGCCTCCTGGAGTCCTACTGCAGCCCTCTCGGGGGCTTCTGTGTGGCCTATCAGCCTATCTATGTGGCCGTTTGTAGGCCATCGTGGCGGTCTTGGAGGCGTCTTGGGGCCGTCTTGGAGGCCATGTTGTACAATTCTGGCCATCTTGGAGGCCATCCTGGGCTTCTTGGAGATTGGAGCCAGCCTGAGCGGAACAGTCCTTGTTCTTCGTGCTGTCGGCGGGCCAGGCCGAGACCTTTTTGGGGGAACCGCGAGCAAAAACGAAACGCTGGACAGTTGGGCCCGCCAGGCACCCCTGTGTAAAGTCAACGGGGGGCGGCGGATCTGGCGCATCCCGCCGCCGCGCCTTCGGCCCCTCCCGCCACCGTGGCCTGGTCGGGGCCTCTTGCGGGCCTCCTCGGTCTCGGGGGTCATCTCGGGTCGAAGGGCTCGAAGTCCCAGTTCGAGTTCCCCCTCTTGGGGCGCTTTGAGGGCCGTCTGGGAGGGCCCTTGAGCCGTCTTGTGTTTGTTTGTTGGGCCATCATGCGGGCCTCTTGGGGACAAAAAGGGCCGCCTTGGGGGCCATGGGGCAGTCTCGGAGAGTCGGGGACCCGAAACGGCGAGAACGCCGTCAACATCATATGACAATGTCAGGGGCAGCAATTCTGTTTACAGGTTGGGCCTCTCTTGGGTGTCTGTTCGAAGCCTCTTGGAGCGTCGTGGGGGCCTCTTCGGGCGACGTGGTGGCTTCCTGAGCCGTCTTGAGACCATCTTTGGCGCCTTGGAGAGCTCTTCGGCCGTCTCGGGGACACGTTGGACCGCCCTGGGGCCCTGTTGGGGCCCGCTTGGCCCGTTTCGGGACCCTCCTGCCTCCGGAGCAGTCGCGCGACAGCACGCTTCAAGCCCCAGGTGCGCCCAGTGCTCAGGGGTGTAACCGCAATGGGATCTGAGAGAGCTCCAGCTCGTGCCTCGAGGCGTTGTGGCGGACAAGCGTTACGGTGGAGACCGACCCATGCCAAGACACGCCGTGCTCGCCTCCAGGGTGCCCTGGGTTTCTTGGGTTTCGATGGTTCTGTGATGGACAGCGTGGCGTTCTCACACCAGAAATCCGTGGCCGTCCTGGGGTCTCAGGGTTGGGTTTCTTGTGAAAGGTTCCTTGTGGTCGGGCTCCTACTGTACTCTTGCGCGTGTGTGTCCCCCATCTACATCTCATCCGCAAACACACTTTTCTCCAGAGGTTCTGGCACGTTTCAGCAGACAGCCTCAGGCGACGAATGCGGCGAGTACACCCTCCCCCTCCCCCGACAGCTTGAGCGACTTTCAGAAAAGAGAGGCGCACAGATGTTTCGCAATGATCCCGCACACCAACACGACCACCACTTGCGAACCCGAGGCGAGGCGGGAAGGGGTGTGCAGGAGCACGGGTGCGCCGTTGTTTCGACGAATACCTGTGATTGATGGTTTCGACAGTTTTTTCAAGTGAAGCCTCTGGGTGGACTTCAGGAAACATACCCTTGGAGAAGCAATGAGTTTCTGCAACCAGCGCAAGGCTCCAGCGTTTCCTCATGGAGTGGCACCCTCATTCCGACATTGTCCTCTGCTCTCCGCGTGTGTGTTTCCCGCCGCTCCACCAACTTCCCTTGCCCTGCCGATCCCTTCCCGATCTGCCGTCAACGTGGTTCGACGTCCGGCGGGTAAAACGTAGGTAGGCTCGGCGTGCCTGATACCAGGTGCGACCGTTCCGATTGCGACTGAGTTCTCCACTTAGCGACGTGATGTGTTGTTATGATTTGCAATGCATGTGGTCGCTTGTCCGTGTTTCGCGCGTGTAGGATAGCCCTCCTCAGTAGCAGCGGCTGTCTCGATGTTCCTTCCTTTCCTGGCTGTTGCCCTTGGAAATGCTAAGCATCTTGTGTTTTCCTCTGGGAGCCTCTCGGAGGCCCGTCTGGGCTATGTTGGAGCTTTCTTAGGGCACTGTGGGAGGCTCTTGCAGGCAGTTGGGGCCGCTGGGGGCCATCGTGGTGGCCATCACACTAACAGACATACGTAGCACCCCGCAGGTGCGGATAAGAATGAGGGGGCGGTGGGGACGTCGGCAGTTTGCGAGACTCTGGAGAAGCCCCGCCGCAGGCGCCAAAGTGTCACACATTATACAACGAGCCCGCCGCAGGCATCGACTTTTTTCGTTAAGCCAATGTGGGTAGGTCGCGGGTGGGTCGCTGTTGGGTCGCGGGTGGGTCGCTGTTGGGTCGCGGGTGGGTCGCGGGTGTAGAGGGCAGAAAATCCACCCCATAATAATCACCCCGACAAGCGAAGCCGTTTGGTAAACGCACACAAGGAATGAATCGAACAGGGCAGGGCTGTTTAGTCAACGCCCAGGGCCGTTTAACAAACGTCAATTGTCGGGTCCGGGTGGTTTTTCCTCCCTTGAGGGTGGGTCGCGGGGTGGGTTGCGGGTGGGTCGCGGATGGGTCGCGGATGTGTCGCGGGTTGGCCGCGAATGGGTCGCGGATTGGGTCGCGGGTGGGTCGCGGGGTGGGATGCGGGTGGGTCGCGGGTGGGTCGCGGGTGGGTCGCGGGGTGGGTCGCGGGTGGGTCGCGGGGTGGGTCGCGGGGTGGGTCGCGGGTTGGTTGCGGGTGGGACGACGACAACAGACAAACAAACAAACAATCAAACAAACAAGCAAACAATCAAACAAACAACAACAGCAACAACAACAATGCAACAAACAGAATTCGCACCACGATTTTTTTATTCAGCCATGCACGCAGGGACAATGAATGGCCGTTCGGCCCCCTCACTCTGACCTAGGAACGCACTCAGCCTGCCAGAGACGTGTGGCCATGCACTTTGGCATTTCGGCCTGGGGTACCACGTTGCTGGACCTCCAAGGCGTTTACGATGCTCGCATCTGTTGCACAGTTGACCTGTCGCAGGTAAGGGCGAGGACTCATTTGTATTTGCGAACTCTCCCCTGGATCTACCAGGGTTCCACGAAAGTGGCACAGTTGCATGGTTGGCAGCGCCCAGAACCACCCATGAAGGCGAGATCTCGTTTGAATTCCTGTATGGCCGCACCGCGCTGCACTTCCTACACGCTCACGAGAGTGGCGACAGTTGTGCAGTCGGCAGCACCCAGAGGGGCGAGGTCCAAACTGAATCTGCAGAGGACCGCATTCCGCTGGACCCCCCCCCCCAGGAGCTAACAGATGTGCAGGCAGTGACTTAGCTGGCGCCGCTCAGGAAGGCGAGGTCCCGTTTGGGCCTCCCATGGTCGCACTCCGTTGTACACCATCAAGAGCTCACGAGAGTGGCCACAGTTGGCAGACTGCCGCACCCTCGTGGAGCGAGTTCGCAGCGCTTAGGGGGGCAAGGTAGGAGGCAGGAGGGGGGAGAAGGGCAGAGGAGGCGGGAGAGGGCGAGAGGAGGAGGATAATGAGGATGAAACGGCAGAGTTGCCCCCTGCAGCACGGTTGCCAAACCATTTCGAAGCGACAAGACGAGAAGGCACACACCGTTCACAAGCTGTGTGGCTCTGTTGAAAAAAACGGTTCCCGCATCTCGTGGGTAATTATCCTTGGCCATC